AGTTCAGCTCGTCGCCACCTGCTCCCTCCTCCTTTGATGGCGAAGCCAGGTTACTGAGGCAATGCAGCTCCCTCTAGTCAACCTAGGGCCGTGTACATAGTGCCAGTCCACCTTCTGACGGTGTCTGCCTCCGCGCACAAAAAATGAGATGGGCATCGCTGCCTACGCCGACGGCCAGAGGCCCGCGCATCTACATTTTTTCGCCTGACCCCATCAGTGCCGACCCAACTACACCACCACGCGCATGCCTCGCGGCGGATATGCGCAGCAGCAAGAAGGTTTCGGTCATCCCTTGAGGGTGAGTCTAGCCCTACTCGCCAGAAAGACCCCCCCCTTCACTACAACCCATGTCTAAGCAAAAGCTTTTGTCGAGGAGCGAGGGGAAGAAGGGAAAAGACTACACTGCACAAATATAGTTGAGGTCTAAAATAGAGCGCTTGATTGAGTTCAAATCCGAACGCGGACAGCACTGGTTGGTAGAGATGAAGCGCTTGTTCTTGGATAGTCTAGACAATGTTTGGTGGTCTGGAAGTTCGAAGACGGAGATAGAGAGTACCGTTGAATCCCTATCGAATTGTAAGCTTTGCCCCGCGGACGAATTTAGTCCGTACATTGCCGTTCGTTCTTTTCGTGCAGCAACTGCTGTGGTATGTATTACCGGGTGACATAAGATACCACACCCCCGGGGATCAATTATCAAAGCTCGATTGCTCCAAAGTAGAAACAATGGCGGTGACGAAAATGGCCGCGTTGGAACCGTCTCACCGAGAGCTTTTCGTAAAGGTGTCACACGATTTGTGCCTCCTCTTCGTCGTGGAAGTGAGCCAGCGTTGAAATTCGGTCCAAGCAAGTCAAGGGCGTGTGGTATCTTACGTCACAAAGTAAATACAAGTTACGGATATATAGTATACTATGGCGCCTTCCGGTATATGCTGGGGAGGGGTTGAGATTGACAATGTTGCCAAACCACCTAGGCTCTGAAAATTCAACTGTGGGTTGCTCTCGGTGTGTAGATGCCATATCCGGTCTCAGATTTTTAATCCGGGGTCGGGAAGGTGAGTTTTCAGCGAAACTTGGTGATTTATCTTAATCAATGTACAGGGAAATGCAAATCAGGGGACACGAACTTTCTGTCCCCTCCCCGGGACAAAACGGGGATTTGCCCATATCATGCCCATTTTAAGCGCTTTTTTGACCGCTGTTCCGGTAGAACAAACTTTACAATTTTTGCAAACTTTGCTGGCCACTTCCGGCCAGGGGACACGAACCTTCTGTCCCCCCCCGGGGACAAAACGGGGATTTGCCCATATCTTGCCCATTTTATGCGCTTTTAAGACCGCTATTCCGGTAGAAGAAACCCTACAGTTTTTGCATATTCTGCTGGCCCCTTCCCACCAGGGGCCACGAAATTTTTGTCCCCCCCCGGGGACGAAACGGGGATTTGCCCATACTATTACTACCAAGAGGCGAGGGTAGCGCACAATACTTGCAAACGTTGCGTTCGACACCACACCAGAAAAAGCAAGAAGAACAACGAACGTCGACGAGTTCCATTCTTGTGGTTGGCAGCCAACACATCCATCCATCCCTAGCCCACCTCCGGGAACCTCCTCTTCGCGATACTTACGCGAACTCTTGAGCTTACGTATTGCGCTTCCTCCCGCTCCCCCTCCTCCTCCACCTCCTCCTTCTCCTT